CTAAAAGATCTGCCTCCCATTCTACTTTTAGAAATTGCATATATACGAATTGAGTTAATAGAACTTTGTGTAAGACATGGTTAAAAAAAGCAAAAACACTCATCAGCTGAGAATCTCTTCCAGTTGCAGTTCTTCTCTTAGGCTCCTGTCACATATTTCACTGACCAGAGGAACAGGAAGCATTTTGCTACGCTGTGGTTAATGTTACTTCAAAGCAGAAAAGGTCAAACAATACGGCTTGGCTTACTAAACAGAGCTTCATAGCAACAGCCATATATGGAAATGCTAAAGTAAACACTGCAGGACTGAAATGTTGATGTTTTAAAGATCAGGAGACACTTGTGCACAATGTGTGAAAGTATTTCTGTAATCACCTTTAATAAGTGCCTCCTCTCTCCTCTGGTTATTTTTTATTCATATTTGCATTTTAAGACCACAAAGTGACGTTTCAGTTGTAAAGTAGAAAAAAAAATCTGTCCTTTTCAAAAATGTTTTATAAATTCAGAAAAGATTTAAACTTCACTGCTTTGTGATGCATCATAAACACCCATCATGCTTCCAAAACGCCTTTATTTAGCTGCGCTCTCAAATTTTAACAAATATTGTGGATTTTGCATTTGTAATTATTTAACTGGTTAAACAGGAAAGCTGCACCTCCCTGATTTTGTTTTTGTCCTCTCAGATGCCCATAGTGCTCCTGCACTGGACCCCCTTCTGGCTGGCCTTGTGTCAGCATTCATCATCACCGCCATCATCATAACGCTGCTCCTCTTCCTCAAACTTCGCAGGAGAGATGCCGGCCCACAGTTTCGCCGGCTGCAGGACCTGCCCATGGTAAGCACGCCCCTGTACATCCAGGCAAAACTCAGCTTAGATCTATATGATACAGAAAACCTCATATAGGGTGCCAGCCACCCCTGCACTCCCAAACCGTTTTACTTCCTGTTGTTGTTCCCTGTGTAGGTTTTCATGTTCATATGGTAACTTACTGAGGTATTTATTACCACAATTTACTTAAAAATTTTTCATTTTAAGTCAGAACAAAACAAAAAAAGTCATATGATTATTAAGGGAAAACAAAGAAATGACAAAAGAAATGTCTATGGCTTCTGCCATTTGAGATGTATGATATACCAGCATCATTTTGTCCTGTTTTTCCCAAAATGCAGAGGCCTTGGCCTTTAAAGGTATACAGAATGGAAGGTTTCCTGTTTTAACCCAACGGAAAAGACAAATTGCTAATTATAGTAAATATGCAATCATTTGCACGTTGGAATCATGAGCAAACGTGGATCTACTGTGCAGAAATTATGCTCCAGTTAGCTGATGTACAAGCCCTGGCAATCAAGAGACATTTAGTATGGCAAAGTATTGATGCAGCTGAAAATTAAATAATCGCAAAAGGAAATGAAGAAACTCACAGGAGTTTCTTCCAGAGTTGTTGTAGATGTTGATGGCTGCAGGCAGGAAGACCCTCCTGTAGCGATCTGTCTGTCTGTCTGACAAGAATTTGGAGGACTGTCTGCAGACTCTTGTTGTGTGGCATGGCTGTCAACAAAAAGAGTGGTTTGCTGTGTCCATAATGTTTTCCGTTTTATACACCGCTGTGACTGTCCCCCAGACATCCCCGGTTCTATTTTTTATATTTATATTTTTTTAAAACAAAGCGGAGTGTGTATGACATCATCCGCGCGCCGGATGATGTCATACACCGGATAAAACCTAACGGAATATCTTCAGAATGGCTCCAAATGACACTAAACTCATATGGGTGAGTAGAACATGATGTAATAACGTAAAATCAAGGGGCCAATGTAAAAAAACGGTGTTCCCTTTTAAGCTGAATGCTGTATATTTATTTCATATTTAGTGAAGTACTAGACTATTTAAAATCTTCATTAATTTACAAAGTGAATTAACCTAGTCCAGATAAAATAAGATAAAATTAAAATGACATACCTTACATAAATTACATGACGTAATAACTGCTCAGAAATCCAGGTATTGTTTTAATATCTGGCGTTCCTCACCTCCGCTGCTGTCAGCACAGTGAATGGATGGGCTGGTGCAAAAATACGGACTGGATATGAACCTGGCATGTCATTATGTGAAGACGCTGATGCGTGAGTCTCACACCCAATGGGTGAGAGTTGACAGCCCTGCATCTATGGTGAGCTACGGTTCCAGACAGTCATTGACACTGATGTAGCAGCTGACCTGTCAGATCATCAAACACTCAACCTGTCAGATATTCACTTAGTCTCAGAGTGGCGAGGCGTGGGGCTTGATTTGTACGGGACGTGTTTTGTAGTTGACAGCACTTTGAACTGATTCAAGGCATGTGTATCCCTTTAGTTTTGTACAAGAAAAACGATTTAATTACTTACTTTTTGTTGCATAAGGTAAACTGACAGCTCCTCTTTGCAGAGGCGTAGCAAGAAATTTTAACCAATGTACACAGAGGGGTGGCCGATAGTGGATAGGCACCAGAACCTCACGTCAATCTACACTGTTCCTACAGGAAAATTAATGAGCAAAACATCCATATTTTCTAAATAAAGACAAGCTATATTTTCCCACAGCCTTTGCTAACAGATAGACGCATATATTTAAACATCTGTGCTTTCTACATAAAAGGTATAGTGGATAAAATTCTTTCAGGTTTGAGTTCTGGGGCACACATCTCTTCTATTATCATTACTCACCTACTTTTATCAATAATCATTCTACATAAAATTGATATTTACAAGTGCTAATATCTGTATAAATTGATCATTTAATAAGTATTTATTAAAATAGTTAATTATCCATGATTTTACT